GGGGGGGGGGGGGGGGGGGGTGTCCTGAAGACCCCCCAAAGCCTAGACAGAAAAGCCTATATAAGATGCAATGTCTGTAAGAATCTTAAGTCTGTGGTTGTTGTCACGAGGGTAAAGTGCCATATTGCAATGATAAGAAAGATTTCTCCACACCCTAAGATAAAGAATTTGATTCACTGTCCAATATAAAAGACAATCGGTCGTCGCAGAGAAAAATATGGCGGTTATGCCGCCTGTCAATGTGGCAGGCCACTGACAATAATATGAGAATCGGGTATCGCTGTACGCCCACACGTCTATCGAATGCCGATAATAGCATAACGAATTTCTGATTTAAGTCTGCACGTGCCGTACCGAGCAACGATGAGTATTTTGAAGAAGAGGTAACCCCATGGCACTCTTTACCCGCCTTGTCGATTTTCCACTAAGAAACTCTCGATGTTTTCTTACAGATTAAACGAGTTCGAAGATGTACTAAACGCTGAAGAAATAGATCTCGTTAGTATCAAACGATTATGCTTTCACGGTACGGCTCTTACTTCATTATTATCTGTCCAGTAACAGCGTTCGAAAAACCATTGGTAATGTTTAATTAAAATGTAATGAAATTCATATTGTTTGTAGGTATACCGGATGAAGGGGGCCTCAGACCGCTATGTTGGAAAATTTTGTTGAATTATTTACCTCCGACTAGAGCAAGTTGGTCGGAAACCCTTACTCGCAAGAGAATACTTTATAAAACATTTATTGGTATGCTATTTTAATATTCTCTAGTTTAGGACATCGAAAGAATGGTCGACTGCAGAAATAATGCAAAAATTTTATTATTTCAGAAGATCTGATCGTCACTCCGGGTGAAGCGAATGCCGATGGCGAAAGGGTAGATGTCACACTTCACGATCATCCCTTAAACTTAAATCCTGATAGCAAGTGGCAAACTTATTTTAAGGATAACGAAGTTCTTTTACAAATCGATAAGGATGTTAGGTAAACTTATTAATACAATGATTTTTATAAGTGTCTTGCATAACTTTATTCGCCTAAATGTTTTCTTTACTTACAATATTATATACCAACCAACAATAATGTGTTTATCATTGTATAGAGAGTTCAAACAAAATCATAAATGAATAAGGGAAAGATTCTATTGAAATGTTGGAAGCAAAGAAAATGTTTCAGGTAATATAGTTATGTGGGAAAACATGAAATGGTTTACTTTGAAAATAATAAATGTAATCTTTCTGTAGGAGACTCTGCCCAGATATTTCGTTCTTTCAACAAGGTACCGATTATCCTTGTAAAGAAATTGTAAATGCCAGTGGACAGAAACGTTTACATCATAGAGTACAACATACAGTTTTAAGAAGCGCGAATGTGGAGAGGAAAGGACTCGGTGTTACTAAGGTAACTGAGTTTATAAATAAACTGAGGTAAAAGTAAAACTAAACTTAATTTCACATATTTTTATGCTGTCGTGGAATGCAGCAGGTAACAACGGTAAACTGTTTCGTGAAATAGGACATGTTTAAATATAAAATATTAATAATGATTTTACTCGTTTTTGCAGATAGCTGTTTCCATTAGAAAAGCTGCAGAAGATTATGCACCGCTTGCAGAGGGTGGTGAAGCGCACTGGGAGGTTTTAGAGAGAATACTTTTCTTATATGCCAAACTGAATCCAGGCCAAGGCTATGTGCAAGGAATGAACGAAATTGTTGGTCCTATCTACCATGCCTTTGCTTGCGATCCTGACCAAAAATGGAGAGGTACGATACAATGGAATTTTCAACTGATCTTTAGATTTATTAAATTCAATGTAACGCTTCTTTTTTAGAGCACGCAGAAGCAGACACCTTTTTTTGTTTCACCAATTTAATGGCTGAAATTCGAGACTTTTTTATAAAGTCTTTGGATGAAGCAGAGTTCGGTATAAACTCAATGATGAGCAAACTTACTACACAAGTGAAAGCTAATGATCCCGAAGTTTGGATGCGTTTACGACAACAAGAATTGTGTCCACAATATTACAGTTTCAGGTAAGTTGGTTTAACACACGTTGCTTGGTCATCAAAATTAATTTAATACCTTTACCAGATGGCTGACGCTTCTCCTGTCTCAAGAGTTTCCGTTACCCGATGTCATGAGAATTTGGGACTCTCTATTTGCTGACGAAAACCGATTCAGCTTTCTAATACATATTTGTTGTGCCATGATCTTGTAAACATCGATATTCTAAGTATATCATATATTTAGTAATTACTATAAAATCATATGAAATTTTTCAGGTTACTAAGGGACCAACTACTTGCTGGTGACTTTGCTACAAATGTTAAACTTTTACAAGTAAGTGAAAGAAGACATTTAGTCGCAAAGATGAAATGATGTAAATGATCATTTTCTGCCTGGTCATTTACTCGCATATATTTATTTACCTTTCAGAACTTTCCTTCGATGGATATTCAAATAGTGCTTTCCAAGGCTGCTGCATTAGCAGGGAAGTGTTTAAATTCGCCATAACATACGATTACGTATAACTCTGTGTAGAGCTAAAGTCGTAAACCAATGGAGAGTTTGAACTATTCAAAGGTATACGCGTTCCATGCTGTTTTTCTCTTTATTTCCCCCTTCTTTTGCATTGTTAATTTTTATTTTATATCGAAAGTGTTACAAATATGTTTAAAGAAATTTTAATTGTGTTAAATATAAATCCGAAAAATGTAGGGAGGAAATAAACTAAAAATATTAATTTCATTTCAGTAGATTTTATATTAAATCGCGCAATAATCTGTTTTATATTGTTTTGTTATAAAGACAATAGTTCAGGCACTACGTTAAACGATGTTTGCCTTAGAACATCTTAAAAGTATTTATACAGAGCAGAACATTCTGCCATGAATATCAAATTAACAACTATACCGCCTGCTTCACACTTGCAAGCAGAGAAACTGTTTGTTGATATAAAACAGACGTGATTGTTATACACAATTCCCTAAAGTAATAAAAAGTAATAGCGAAATTGTGTATGAGAATCTTTGATATGAAAAATGTTTTTAAGTAATTTTTATACTCTCAAAAGATAAAAATCTTTGCGTTCGTATAGGATGGTTAAGGTGTAAATGTAGCTCTCTGTTTCCTCGTGAGCTGATGAGATTAAGAGAAGTTCTTAACACTGCACGAGCAAAAATAAGTTTAGATTTGTAAGTGTTATAAATATACCTTATTGAGAAACATTTCTTTTTAAATGCCAGAGAAAATAGGCTTAGCGTAAGATAAATGATTTAATATTTTAAAAATGATATCATCGATGCATGATTTTTGTATATCATTTTTCTGTCAATTTGATCTGATAAATTTCTTGTATTATTGAAGATAGTGTTGATCTTATTAATAAGATTTTGGGGTGTTTCTCAAAAAGGTTAAACAGGGGTGGAAGAATTGCGCTGTGAAAGAAAACATCAGCCATAAGATAAATGTAAATCGTGTTACCTTTAAGAGAAATGGGAGAAAAGATGTTTGTATACCCCAAAAGGATTTATTCGTGAAGTTAAAATTCAACAAATGAGATAAAAGAAACAAAACAAAAATATTTCCAAAACATTTGAAATTACTGGCTGACTCGGTATACATTTTGTATCAATTAAACAGTAATACATTATTATTGTTTGTACGCGCAATAATTACATAATCTGTTTAAGTAAAATATTATATTTTGTAATCTTATTTTTGTAATAACCTACGACGTTTGTCCTACGTTTATAAAATAAAGCAATGTTATATTTGCATATAAGATAGTATTTATTGTTTCATCTTTTATATTATTGTGGTTCACGAGAAGAATTATGCATTACATGTATTACAATGTTATATAAATGATTAATTTCTTATAAAATATTGATATATTTTATATTGTAATATATATAAAATATTGATATATTTTATATTGTAATGTATAAAATATTGATATATTTTATATTGTAATGTATAAAATATTGATATATTTTATATCGTAATATATAAAATATGTATATTGTCTATAAAATACTGTCCATTTCATATTTTACAAGCGCAATTATTCGTACTACGTACGCAGGTCTCTGGGTCGCGATTCCGATGCATGCGTCACCTATCCCCACTCCTTTGAAGTTAGATCTATCTTATTTTCCTGCGAACATCTTTCGAGATGTTACAAGATGTCTAAGACAGAGGTCGTGACAGGTCCACTTCTTGTGTCGCGTATACCGTACGATTACGAAACGGAAACATTTAAAAATTCTAATGATGGAATTTGGAGAAAATGATAAATCGTTCGAAGACAGCCAAGAATATACAGATCGGATGAACTTTTTATCGAAACAAGTATGAATTCGACAAAACCATAATTTTGTACCTATAGTTATATCTCTTCGATGTGAATTTATTATCTACAATATTCATAGCTTTCGAAATGCAAGGAACTGAACTGTATAATCAATGAGCGCAAGCAAAGATTATATGATTGGACATCATCGTTTTCGGTATTGCAAATGAGCAATTTGTCGAAACAAATCAAGTACAATGAATTAGCGAAAGAAGAAGGTCGCGTGAGAAAAAAATACATCGAATCAGCAAAATCAACGGATGCAATACAGCAAGAATTCAAAATTTTAAAGTCAGGGAGCATATGGTATAGGTCTAAATAACGATATTTTGTTATTACTTGTTATAAAAGACAAGCAGACTTTGTAATCATAACCCATAAGAAATTTTATGTAATCAAAATTCATTTAAATTTTCCTAGCCATAATTTCTTGGGAAGATGTGCAAGCTACGCGGAGTCTTTTTTACACTCATACACAGAATATGTAAGTTCGATCACATACCTACACAGCACGTTATATTCAGTGGATATCATTAATTGATAATAAAAGATTTATTTCTGTAACCACAGTCGTCCGTCAAATTATCAAAGGATATTGAATTGTACACGCAAAAATATGAAAAACTGCAACACGAATTATCAATGAAAATGAAAGAATTGGAAAGTTTAGAGATGGAACATGGTTTAAATTGTTTGATCTCTGACGGGGCAACGAAAGAGAAACTAAAAATTTATGCTTCGTTGAACGATATAATGTGAGAACAATGATTAGAATTTGTAGACCTTTTTAATAATTAAAAATTGTTTTTCTAATTTTTTTGTTATTTTATAATCAGGTTAAATATTCGTAAAAATACTGAAAATAATGAAAAAAATATTAGGATTGGGCAACAAAAATTGGAGGCACTAGAGAGCAAACTCGTGTGAAAGAAGACCGTGCAAGAATATATTTAAAAAGAAATTTGTACTGCCCCCTAAACTAAGATGTGAACTTTATTGGACAATCGAAGGGTGTTCTATCTTCTTTTCCCAAATGAATCGTTATTTTCATGGGTTTACGCTTTCATCAAAATGTATTCCCGCGCAAACTGTTGAGCAAAGCGCCAAACCGGTGACAGTCATCAGTTAGAAAATTGAATTTATCAGAAGCCGGCGTTCGGCAATATTCAAGCGTACTTTTGTAAAGATTTTATATTTTTCGAGTTGAAGAAACATACTACTTTTAAGATAAGTCGATATGGAGCTTACAGATGATAATTTGCTCACTCTTAGCGAATATTTAAAACATACACTCAGCCCGGACGTAAATGTCAGACGGCCAGGTGAATATAACCTCTATTATTTTAGGAAGTGTGTTATTCAAACATGTATCTTTATGTGCACTCGTCAGAACGCATTTAACTATTCTTCGTTACGTAAAAATTTCATTTTCTTCTTTCGTTTACCACGCTTATTCAATATTTACGGTTTCGGAAATACGTTTGAGAAATTGTATTTCGCGAGTATCAGCAAATAGCACTGCTATTCCTTTCTTTCAGTTTCTGTTACATTAGGCTAATTACTTTGTAATAAGACTAGATTAAATATCAATGTATCAATTAAATATGTATTCTTATTAGTTTCGTACGTCCCTTAACATTTCAGCTGAGAAGTTTTTAGAATCTGTTGAAATAAATCAAAATTATCCGCTACTTCTTCTACATCTCGTGGAGAAGTCTGAGATCGATATAACCATTAGAATTGCTGGAGCAGTTGCTTTCAAGAATTATGTTAAACGTAACTGGAAAGTGGTAAGTTGTTTTCGTTATTGATTACTTTGATGTTTATAGAATCAAATGTATTAAGAACGATTGAATTATATATAGGAAGAAGATTCAGTGGATCGTATACATGCGCACGATAGAAAAGCGATTAAAATACTTATCATTAATTTGATGTTGCATTCTCCCGATTCAATTCAAAAACAGTTGTCAGATGCTGTTTCTATTATTGGGAAGTATGACTTTCCAAATAAGTGGCCGGAGCTTATAGACCAAATGGTCGAAAAATTTAACACGGGAGATTTTCATATTATTAATGGTGTTTTACACACTGCACATTCTCTGTTTAAAAGGTACAGATATGAGTTCAAAAGTCAGAGTCTATGGACAGAAATAAAATATGTGCTGGATCAGTTTGCCAAACCTTTAACTGACCTGTTTGTTGTAAGTATTTCATGAGTAGGATGGAGGGGGGTGTACATTGTTTCTAAATCTGTAATCCTTTTTTGATATAGGCTACAATGAATTTGGCAGAAGTTCATGCACATAATATAGATGCGCTAAAAGTGATATACAGTTCATTGGTGATTCTTTCAAAGGTGTTTTACTCTCTTAACTTCCAAGTAAGTGAAATAAAGAACGTATCAACAATAAACAATATTTATTCAATTTGTAATTTAATCAAAAATATATCCGTACTCTTTTTAGGATTTGCCAGAATTTTTCGAAGATAATATGGCTGTTTGGATGAAGAATTTTCATACTTTATTAAATACCAATGTTCCCTCTCTACAAAACGCAGTAATGTTACTTTACTTAACAATTTTTATTGGACTTTTTTTCGACGGTGATAAATTCGCAGTGAAATAATCGATATACTTTTAGGATGAAGAAGAGGCAGGAGTAATCGAACAATTAAAGTCACAAGTCTGTGATAATATTGGCCTGTATGCACAAAAGTACGACGAAGAATTTCAGCCGTATTTACCGGAATTTGTAACTGCTGTATGGAATTTGTTGACATCAACAGGGCAACAACCGAAGTACGATGCTGTACGTGAGCTGTAAATGAATGTATACTTACAAGACTTACAGAATATTCTAATAAAATTTTACACTTTTTCCAGTTAGTCTCGAATGCCTTACAATTTTTAGCGACAGTAGCAGATCGTGCACAATACAGACATCTGTTTGAAAACCCAACTACTTTGAGTAGTATATGCGAAAAAGTTATAATACCTAATATGGAATTTAGAGGTAATTATAAAATATAGAATTTAAATCATACTTCTAAACATCAAGCATGATCTATTGATAGTAACAAAAATTTGTACTATTTAATAGAATCGGATAATGAGTTGTTCGAAGATAATCCAGAAGAATACATCAGGCGAGATATCGAAGGCAGTGATGTGGACACGAGAAGAAGGGCTGCTTGCGATTTAGTTAAAGTACTTTCCAAGTATTTTGAAGCAAAAATAATGGAAATTTTTGGCGCGTACATACAGGTAGTATCGAATTAAAATACGCGTTGCACGTCATGAATTCTTTTATTATTTTTACTTTCGTATTTCAGGTAATGCTACAAAACTATGCGGCTAAACCTGCTGAAAATTGGCGAAGCAAGGATGCTGCGATTTATCTAGTGACTAGTAGTGCAAGTAAAGCTCAAACGCAAAAACATGGTGTTACTCAAAGCAGTGATCTTGTTCCACTACCTCAATTTGCAATGCAACACATAGAACCTGAACTGCTTAAACCGAACGGTACAAAACATCATAGTCGAGCATTTGTAAATCTTGGATGAATATGATTTTGAATACTTATTTCTAAATGACTGATTTCAGTAAGCGAATTCCCAGTACTTAAAGCAGATGCAATCAAATTTATAATGACATTCAGGTCAATACTACCAAAAGAAATGATCGTTGGAAGTTTGCCACAATTAGTCAGACATTTGAGTGCTACGAACATTGTTGTTCATACGTATGCCGCCTGTGCGATTGAGAAAATACTTGCATTGAGAGCCCCAGATAATTCACCTGTGTAAGAAAATTAATGTAATTATATAATTTTATTATAATTTTATCATAATTTAACGATTATTTTACAGAGTTAAGGGAAACGATTTGTCGTCTTTGGCAGCAGATTTGTTGAAAAATCTGTTCGCATGTTTAAATATGCCTGGATCAGAAGAGAACGAATATGTGATGAAAGCTATTATGAGATCCTTTGGAACCCTACAAGAAATCATAATGCCATTTTTAGCGGATCTCTTGCCGAAACTTACGGAGAAACTCGCACTCGTATCCAGAAATCCAAGTCGTCCCAATTTCAACCATTATCTGTTTGAAATTTTTGCCTTGTCAATTAAGTAAGATATTGCTAGAAATCCGATACAGATATAAGACAAAGTCAGTTATAACATGATAATTGAAATACACTTATTATAATTTCCAGGGTCGTTTGCAAAACGAACCCAGTTGCGGTTTCTTCGTTCGAAGAGGCATTGTTCCCGATTTTTCAAGGCATTTTGCAGCAAGATGTCTTGGGTAAGCTATTTTATTCGATATCATTGGAAATTGACTATGATCATTAATGGAAAACTATTTCAGAATTCATACCATATGTTTTTCAAATTCTTGCCTTGCTTTTGGAATTACGGACAACTCCGCACATACCAGAGCCATACCTGGCTCTATTTCCTTGTCTTTTGTCATCCGTGTTGTTTGAGCGTCAAGCTAACATCCATCCTTTGACTCGATTGCTGAGAGTATTCATTAGACATGGTGCTCATCATATAATTGCGCAAGAAAAAATGAGCGGCTTGTTGGGAGTATTTCAAAAATTACTCGCTTCAAAAGTACATGATCATGAGGGTTTCTTGTTGCTTCAAAGCATCATAGAACATTTTGCGCCGTAAGTTTATCATATGTATAAAAATGCATCATTTTTCGTCGACTTATTTTTAAGAGACGACTTTTTTTCAGGAACGTATTGGAACCGTATATGAAACAAATATTTGTACTGTTCTTCCAAAGACTTTCATCGTCGAAAACAACAAATTTCGTAAAGGGTCTCATCGTGTTTTTCGCATACTATATCATCAGATATGGTTCAAGTAGTTTAATTACAATCATCGATCAGATACAACCTCAGTACGTTTCATTGATCGTTACTAGAAGACAACGAATATTTCTATAACTACAGATCTATAATGAACCTATTTCGTATAGTTTTACAATAATTTTTTTTTTATGTGGTAGGATGTTTGGTATGGTCGTGGAGCGCGTATTAATAGCAGACATGCAAAAGATATCGGGTGATATTGAGCGGAAAGTGACAGCAGTCGGAATTTCAAATTTACTGATCGATTGTCCAGCAATGTTAGAAAGCCCGTACAGTACATATTATCCGCGCATATTGGCGGCATTAGTGGAATTCTTTGAATTGCCGCAGGACCAAAGTACAGTACCCGAAGACGATCTGATCCCAGAGATCGAATCTGCGCCTGGATATCAAGTAGGATACAATCAACTTCTTTGTGCGAAAACACCTGCAAAGGATCCTTTAGAAGGTATACGAGTATTTCAAAACATTTTTACGTCTCTTTGCGCTCAGTTATTTATATAATATATATATATATATTATATTATTATATTATATATATTACATTATTATATTATATATATTATATTATTATATTATACAGGGTGTTCCACAATTATTTTAACAGCCGAAAATGAGGGGTAGCTGAGGTCATTTAAAGTAACTTTTTCCTTTGCGAATTTGCAATCTGTGGCTTTGTTTACGAGTTATTAACGAAAAATACTGGCCAATGAGAGGTGACGGTGCGAGGGAGAGGGTCCGCGAAAGAGTCCGCAGCACGAGGCTTCGACAGAAGGTCGGGACGGTCTCGAGCCGCGTTCAAAGTATTGAACAAATCACGAAGCGAGAACTTTCCGGATTTTTTTAACTACATAACAGTGATATTTTTAAGAAAAACGCTGTTCACCTTTACTTTAGAACGTCTGAAGAATATTTACTAATTTTTCGGAC